TCAAGAGGGTCCTTTCGGTTTTGTCCGCTGACCTTCATTGTTCCTGCTGATGCAGAAGCTCCTCCGTCTCCCAAGATGTAAAAATTATAAGGCATGATTATTTCTGTTTCTATAACTTTCCTTTTTTACTGGGTCGGGTAGTTGGCCCTCCGCAAACTGTCACTTTTCGGGTGGCTAGACCTATGCACCTTTAGTCGCCTCTTACGATACGCAGTATCATGGCAGGTGTATTCTTTACTCCCCCATAGTAAAACTATGGGGTCCCCCACCTGCAGGGGCACTTGGACATTTAAATAGCGAGCCCCTTCCTTGAGTTTTTTTTTAGCAATGTCAACTTTGTATTAATGTGTTCCTCAATGCACAGTGGGGAGACTTTGTTACTCTCTATATGATGGGTGACAGGCAAGAAGATTACAGTAAACAATAAACCATACGTGAGGCAGCGTTCGTCCAAATAATGTTTTAAAACAAAAATGATAAAGTTCGTCAAAATAATGGAATATCCGTAGCGTTTAATATCTGAGAACTTTAATATCGGATGGAGGATCCAAATCACAAGTACTTTCCCGGATATCCCAGACCACAGTTCCAGTTACCAAACCAACTGTCATTTGGAACTACAAGAACATCACCATCAGCCCCGAAATCAGACTAATGCGTTCCCTAGTCATGTCCATGTTTTATATTCATGTGAAACGAGAACAACTGACATCGAAAGAAGGATACAGACATTGGAGATGAGATGTTTTGCAAATCCAAGTTAATGATCGGATTTTTATCTTTGTGAGAGTAGAAAATGGAACACTGGCGTCTGGATCTTTGTAAGGGTTGTTAAAAGGAAATAATGTTCTGCTTTTGACGAAAGTCTTGCAACACAGTCCAAGTAACGTTACGCCATTCTCTGTCCTTTCGGTGTCTGAGTCAAAAACATCAGCCTTTTACATTTCAAAGTCTAAAGAAAATCACATTCAAGATATCCTGTAAGTCAATGCGAGGTATTGTTGCTAAAACGCGCTGGGGAAAAAATGGACGACATTTTCGATGACTTCAGAACTCCCGTATAAAGCCTATATGTGAGGCAACGTGGTAGAATCAGGCTCTCGTCAAAATAATCAAAGTGAAGAAACTTGCATTTTCCCGCAGGTTTGTGAATTTTTATCAAATTTTTGTTTTTTGGGTCAGCACCTTTCATGCCCATTAAAAAACTCATTTCCGTGTGGATTTTTCTTAAAAACGATTAAAGGCTCAAAAATGTAGATTTTCAGTTACCACGGACTCTTAAGCTAAGGAAATAACTAATCTTTGGCGGCCATTTTCTCACTTATTTAACCCCTGAAAGCAGGTGACACCCACCTCCTTCATGAGCAAATATCTCGACTTGCATTCAAGATAAATTGATATTTTTTCCATCCAAATAAAGACAAGTGAACATGCTTTAAGATGATACCAATAACTCTACATGCCCAAAACTTGACGAGAGCCTGATTCCACCACGTTGTGCCACATGTATGCTTTTCCTATTAAAAATATATGGTACGAAATCCCTGTATAAAATTTAGAGGAGTTTAGAAAAGGACAATTTTACCCAAATCTCCTGTTGAAGTGTTGTCACTGCGGTTCTCTTTCACCTATAGGTTTAGCATGTTGACACAATATGCAGCTCGGTCTTCTCATCAGATTTTGACCCCCCCCCCCTCCCCCCAAAACTAAGAACAAACAATTTTTGAAATGTTGGTCTATACAGGAGTCTTACATCCTATGCACGAAATAATTATAATGAAAAAGATAACCGCTCAAAATCGATAACCAAACGTGCGCTGTGTTTCTCATTACCACTGGGGGTCGACTTAAAATTTATTGCCAAAAAAACATTGAACACCCGTCTGCAGTTTCCCAGCGATCGACCTAGGAATAAGAAAAAAAACCAAGTTGAGCTTATAAACACAAAAAGTCGAAGCCAGACGAAACAAAGAGTTGTATTTTGAAACTGACAAAGTAATGCACAAATTATCCCTTTTTCTTGAGAGTCGATATTGTTTCTACGCACGATGACTGTGACATTTGGATCTTTATAATTCTTTGGCGAACGTTTCCTCAAATAGTTAGAAATATGGTTATAATATACTATCAGTACTGATGCTCAGTTTAACTAAACTAACCCAATTAAACTAATGGGGATCAATGGACAGTCTCATTGAATATAATCATATAACATACATGTTATAACTATTTAATACAAATGTCTACTTGTTAAACAATTTAAATGCTTTGTAGGAACACAAAGAAAGAATGTTGTTAACTGATCATTTTTTTGCCGTTGACAAAGTCCTGGTTTCCTTTGTACTGAGTGTATAAATCAAGGTCTGTGTCTGAAATAGGGGAGGAGCCTAGCGCTAAAGTAACTGTGGTGTCGATGTCCCACACGTCTCTCCCACCCAGAATGTCGATTTCACACTTGTGGGGAAACAACTCAACTTACTCTCGCGAACAGAAAATGAGCTTGCCAATGACAACACCATCACTTTTTGGTTTATATCATGCAAATATCGTAAGCGACGAGCAATGGTACATTGTCCAAGCGGTCAACGTGGTGGTCATCTCTGGTCTCCTCAGTCTGTTCGGCGTGGCCACCAACATCATCAACATTGTGGTGTTTGCCAAGCAAGGCTTTCAGGACAGCATGAACATCAGCCTCATGGGTGAGATAGCAATTATCACATCTACAGTAAAGTTAGTATCAAATAACCAAATCTACAGTTACTTACAACTAATTTTTCCATCAAACGGCCATGGAATAGAACATAACACACATACGTGAGGTGGATATAATAGACTCAATTTTGAAATATAGCACCCAGCACATTTACAATACCATCAGCAAGCTGTGAGTTTGCTCTAAGACCAGAAATCTTTTTATTTTCGGGGAGAAAAAATGGTGTCCTCGCGATTTTCCCTAGTTATGACAATATCCGAAAATTTAAGAAGTCGCTACTGGTTTGGAACATAATAACAATATGACAATGGGAGACTCAATTCAAATCAAAACTTTTTTGAAAGACAAAAAACCAACTAAAAACCACAACTAAGGAACCCTTTGTACAACAGGCACTTTCCATTTCTCAACCTTGACGACAATTTCTTCCCCCCTCTCCTCACAGAAAACACACATCTTTATTGAACTGAGGGACACAATTATTATATTTCAAAAAGTCGAAATTAAAATGTAGAGGCAGATGCTTTACACCCCGATCGACACAATTTTGATCATTTAGAAGGCGGCCACTTCTGCGCTACCTGTCATGGCCAACTCGAACATTAATCAAAGCAAAAAAAACACGCAGTGGCTACAACATGTTTGAGGATCAAATATCAGAAATCGGTAAAGACAGAAGGCCGTATTTACTGAAATAGTGTTTGGTCATCATTCCTTACCCAGCGCGTCCCTGGGTGATGGAGAGGGGGCCAGGCCTCCAAATATGGAGGTAATCTGCTTAGCAGTCGCCCACCGAATGTGAGATGGTTGTGGAGAGAAGACGAGAACTTTGGTGGCACACGTGCTTCTGAAAATGCCCCATATACTCAAAAAAGTAACCATCGTGTCCGGTTCTGGCAACAAAACCCTTACATTCTATCTATACCACCCGTGAGATTCCAAAAGATATCCATGATTAAGTCAATTTTTATAGCTTTACCTATAACAAAACGTGCCACTAAATTTGAGATGCAGAGAACAATAAACCTTATGAGTCATTTTACATAAATCTTGCTGCGAGTAATAAAGGGAAGAATGAGAAAAAGCCTAAGACCAGAGAGATCTAAAACACAATTCGTCTTTGATCCTGACAAGGGCACCAGGAATTCTATGTTCACCATTTTTAATGGGAAGATTTATTGAATACTGGAAAAAACATGTATTTATGTTTCACAGATTTGTCAAAGGCTTTCAATAAAGTTAGACTTGGTAGCCTATTCGAAATAATGGAAGAGCTAGACATAAATTCTAAAAATCTAAGAATAATTTAAAATTTGTACTTGGACCAGATGACTGTTGTAAAAATTGTGGAGAGTACAGCGAATCTAAGCAAATTAGAAGAAGAGAAAGGCAAGGATGTGTATTGTCACCATACCTCTTTCACATGTACAGGGAAACAAACCTTAGAAATATAGAAGAATGCCCACGTCGTATGAGTAAATGGAGAAAATATTAATAGCATTAGATATGCCTTTGGTAGAGTTTTAATAGCAGATTTAGAAACAGGCCTTTAAATCTGTTCTAGATACTGTTGTAACGAAAAGTAAACATAAAGGGTTAGTGTGGAATGGGAAAAAAACAGAATACGTGGTAACATTTTTAAAAAATCCAGTAAATCCTACTTGCAAGCGCATAAGCAAAAGCAGAAAGATAAAAATGTTCAACAATTTAAATATCTAGGATATAATACAATTACATATGATACCAAAATTCCACAGAAATAAAACGAAGCATAGCTAAAACTAAAGATAGTTTCAATAAAATATGCCCAATTCTGGAACTTAAACAAAATCTCAATGAATACAAAATGAAAATACAGGAACGCTATGTATGCTCTGCCCTACTAATAATATGGTTGTGAATGATGGGTGATAACTAAAAACAGTGAAAATAAACGCGACAGAAATAATAATATTGTTTCTTAGGCGACTGCGGAGAATTCCGTCGAAGAAAAAGAAATCAGATGAGGTAGTGCTTCAAGATGCCCACATGGGCTGCTCGGTGACTTTAAAAAAATGATCAGAAAGGACAAATGCAGTTTCTGGGATACTTGTAGAGACATAAAGGCCTTGAACATCAAACTCATAGGCAAACTTGAAGGTAAACGAGGCAGGGGTAGACCCAGAGAAACCTACTTAGAGAACTTAAACAGACTGGTGTATTTGAAGGTTTCCAGAGAAAGGAGGAGACAGTGATGGCTGCTATAGACCTAGAGGATGCTTACAACTGAGTTGATTACTGCAAGCTCATGGATCTCCTGATGGAAATGGATGCTGACCCCTGGTTGATACAATGGATCTCCGAGGCTCTGTTTGAGAGGAAGGTAGTTCTGAGAAGTGGGTGATAGATGTCAGACCCAGTTGTGATTGCCTCAGGACTGCCACAAAGATCAGCCTTATCACCGGTTCTGTTCAACACATATACATCCAAAATGGCCAGGATCGGTGTAAGTTGAACAGGAAGAATCCTAACCTTTGCAGATGATGTGATGGTCTACGGAAAAGGTGTGATAGGCTAGCGGTTGGACGGATGCTACAGGACAGGCTGAGCAAGGTCGCAGATTGGTGTGAGGAATACAATGTAGTCATCAATACGACAAAGCACAGGTCATCTGGTGCTCACTCAACAACCGTGTTGTGAAAGATCCTACGCCTCCAATTGTGTTTGGCCACTTTGTCATAGAGAGACAGCATGAGTTGAAGTACCTGGGAATCACTCTGGACAAGACAATTTCTTTCCGAAAACATACTGACAAATGTTGCCGTCAGGGCATAGAAGGGCATTAATGAAGTGAAGACCTTGGCTTCAGCGGGAATTCAACATAGAGTTCTTTACGTCCTAATGCAGCTTGTTGTTCTGTCAGTCATAGACTAAGGTCTGGGCATCCTCTCCTTGTCCAAGGCTCAGATAGACAGGTTGGAGAGAGTACAGAATGCAGCTACGAGGGCAGTCTTGGGTTGTACAAAGGACACTCATGTTGTCTGTATGAGATACATCCTAGATCGGACCAGCTTCAGAATGAGGCATAAGGTGGCTGTGGCGAAGCTGTACTTGAATGTTTTGGGACACCCGAAGCACCCTTTGGATGACAAACTAAGCAGCATTAAAGGAAATAGGATCAAACGGGGTAGCTCATGGATGGCAGGAGCTGAAGACTCCTTGAGGAAAGTTTGTGGCATTGATGAGATATGCAGTGGCAAGGAATGCTTTGAACTGAGCTCCGCTTGCAGAAGCCTCGCTAACATTCACATCACTATGGATCATGAAAGACGGGAATGTGCTGCTGTCGTTAACGACAATGACATACGACAGTTAATTGAGGAGCACTCTAAGCCAGAGGACCCAGTGGTCTATACAGATGGATCGGTCAGGAGGGGTAAGAGGCGTGGCTGGGGTGTTGAGGTGTATAGTGTGAACCAACAGATTCATAGCATGTCAGAGGTCATAGAAAGAACAACTTCAAGCATGAAAATGAAGATTGAGGCCGTAACAAGAGCACTTAGCTGGCTTCAACATGCAAAACCAAGAACTACTCATCGCAATATTGTCACAGACTCCCAGAGTATTCTGCGAAGGGTTTTTTAGAAAGGACTGCTTCAGAGTGAATGGATAAACCCAATACAACACACATTACTTAAAGCCATCACATGAATATTCTGTCCTGGGCACTCTGAAGTAAAGGCCAATGAGGAGGCTGATAGGTTGGCAGATAGTGCTGTGGTTGATGGTGAGATGAATTCGACAAAGGAGAAGTGTTGAAGACCCTGGAGGAAAAGTTGCGGGATGAGGAAGACAGGGGGACAGCAGAACACCACGCAATCATCAGGATGCGGGAAATTGGCAGAGAGAGAGAGAGAGAGAGAGAGAGAGAGAGAGAGAGAGAGAGAGAGAGAGAGAGAGAGAGAGAGAGAGAGAGAGCGGGAGGGAGGAGAAGGAAGAAGGGAACGATTATTGGAAAGGAAAGACGTCGCCATAATCAAACAGCCTCTGGAACAATTAGTATGGATACCTGCAAGTTTTAGTGCTGAGAGGGACTGAGCACTTATGGACCTGTCCGGTGGGCAATAACGTTGATGTCCTCGACAAGTAAGTAAGAAAATTGATTGATGATGGGGAAAGATCAGGAAAATGTAGCTTTTCGGAGAACATCTGAGTGAATAAAAAATAAAATGAAATTTCTCTTTAGCTTGGTTTAATACTTTTCATGTCAGAGGCTTTTCACAGTCGTATCACCCAACCTGCACTGGGTGGGGGTGGGGGGGGGGGGGGGGGGGGGGCTCATGATTATATATTTCATTTCTCCAAGTCGTAAAATGTTTATAATTTCAGGGCTCGCTGTGTCTGACCTGTGCTCCCTGCTGATCATGATATGGCTAAGCCTCTGCCTGAACCCACTCTTCTACAACTCTGAGTTGCCCTTTGACCCCATGGATATCATTGTCTCTACGGGGGGCATACCCCATGTTCTCTTTGTCAAAATTGCCACTTTTATCACCGCCTTCATCACCTTTAAGCGATGTCTGTGTATTGCTGTCCCTCTGAAGGTGAAGACAATCATAACACCAGGAAGGACGAAGACAATTATTATCTCCATCTACGTTGGCATGTCTGTTTCGATGATCCCCTACTACCTTGGAAACAGACTTGAGTGGGTTTTCGATTTCAACAGGAATGTAACTGTGCTAAAACCCACGGCCGAGAGAGAACTGTTAGAAGTCATTACATTTCTCATCCAAGGCGTTTTTACTACGTTTTCCTTCGTCTTCGTCATCAGCTGTACCATCGTTCTCATCGTTAAACTCAACAGTAAAACAAAGTGGCGACAGGCCACTGCAGCCAAGTCTGATCGTGCAGCGGGAGGAGTTGGGGTCAAAGATCAAAAGGTGGTGAAAATGGTGACCTTCATCGCTGTCATTTTCATCGTCTGTTCCGTACCTCCCACACTTCTGTTTTTCTATATGGTGATTGACATTGATTTCCGTGTAGGTGGTGTCTATCGAAATCTCTATCTTGTCATTTGGACTACATCATTTCTAACAGAAACGATCAACTCCAGTGTGAACATATTTGTGTATCTGAAAATGAGTTCGAAATATCGAGCAGTGTTTATGAAAAGATTTTAGAACAAGGAGGAAAACAACATTTTTTAAACTACAGAAAAAATAAGTCTTTTTGTAATAAATATTTAAAAGAAAAATAGATATTTTCTGAAAGCGAAAAAGTCTCTTGATAATGAAGAAAGAAATGACAATACAAATGATGGCGATCGCTACAAAAGGACTGAATTGAACTTAAAATGGGCTTTCTTCTTACACATTTGATCTTAACGAAAATAAAATAGTGCAACACTACGTTTCAAGTTATGAGTACTGGCAAAGTTTCATATTTTTTAATTTGGTAGTTTCTGAGAATATACTGTTCGCAAAATTTGGCCTTAGCTCCATTAGTAGTAAGATAACACGGCACATCTCAAATGTGCACCCACGAAACATAGCCCACAGCAATGATTATAAATACCATGATTAAGCAAAGGGGCGTGTGTCAAGTTTTGGACGACAAAGGGTTTGTTTTGCTGTGCACGGGCTTTAGTGGCAGTGTATCAAAAGCAATTAAATTGGGGCACTATATCATGTATCTCTGAATTAATCCTTTGTCAGATATTGCTATATCTGCTTTCTGCAATGACTTTGGTGATCTTTTCAACGTTTTCATTTGGTCACTTGTGTCATTCTCTGTCGAATATCGTAACCAAGTCTTCACAACTCCTTCACAGCACCATGAATTTTTTGCAGCAGACCAGACACTTGTGTGGTTGAAAGTAATGAAAGATAATTCTTGAAATTTGGTCCAGAAGACAAAAAGAAAGTTACAAAAGCATTAATATGAGTCAGTGGGTGGATCCACAACATCACTGTGTTGCAAGCAAGGTCTTGTGGCAGATATCGTGAGTTCCAATGGAGTATTACTTACAGTGATATCAAGATGAACTTGAACATCTGTTCTCAGTCACCAGAGGAAAAGGTGGACATATCTTGACAATCCAGACCTCCCCAAAACAGATACATTTTCGTTTGAAGAGACATATAATGACCGACAAAATTATGATCGCGTCGCCTTCCAGTAGTTGCAGGGATGTAGTGGATAGCTTTTTGATAAATCAAAATCTAACGAGTAAGAATTTCAGTCAAACAATAGTTGCAATTTCGGTAGACCTTGATTAAAAAACACAGATACATTGTTTATTTTGTTAAACTTTGCCATACATTACAGATGCAATGTACTTAAAAATGAAATTATTGACGTAAGTGGATACACTTTGAAGACACTTTACGATGTAGTCTGCAAAGACTGTACAGGGATATTGGAAGATTCCTCGTCTTCCCATGCAAGACACCCGACCCTCATCAGCCAGGATCAATTTGAACATTGTCATCACGGTGGCTTGAAAAAGCCAGTTTTAAACTTGTGGAATTTATTGGTTTGTTTGAAGCTGCTTTTATCACACAGTATGTAGATGTGTTCCTGTTACAGCCGATCCGACCTTATCATTTAAAAAGCGTATTTACAATAAAGATCAAAGATCATAATATCAGAACGAGTGCAAATTTTTAAATATTTTTGTTATTTTACCGTTACACAATAAATTGTGCCAATAAATTATGCCAACGTGGTATATGCAAGGGCAACAACGCGTCGATTTCCTGAATCCGCTTAGGGAAATAGAGTTACCTCCTTTATATTACATACACTAGTTTTATCTCCGTCTCCACATATAATAGTGGCGTGCAAAAGAAACTTGAAAATGTGTTCTCCCATCCATCGTGTTAAAGCCTTATACAACCTTAAGGGCACTTAAACATTACTTGCGTACCTTTTGAGAAACTTACGAAATGTCAGGGATGGTGAGTTGGTGGCGAGGTAATGTTCAATACTAAAAGCTCCCCTCTCTTTACTAATCTTATCCATGATCTCAGCAGACCAAGGAAACTAGAGAAAGACAATATCTATAAACTTCTGTTGGCCTGTTAGACTACTGTAGCTTGAAATATTATGGCGCGAGCTTTGAGACTTTTAGTGGTAGGTCTAATGCCAACTAGTGTGTTACGCTACAAAAAATGGTGACATGACAAAATTTGGATTGGTTTTTTTCCGAGCTATACAGAGCAAAACTTTTATATTCATGGTTTTATCAAAAAAAGAATATCAGCCAAATTCCTTTTGGCTGCTAAATTAATGTTTTGCACATATTATCTGAAACGCAGTGTGGAGGAAAATATTTACCAAAAAACAAATTGTAAAGCATGATCTTCTGGTAGGTAAGATCTACACCTAGCCTTCTCGGACATGGGTGAAAAATCTCGGACTGCCCGTGTGCAAATTGCGCACGTTAAAGATCCCTAGGTGGTCTAAAATCGATAAGAATAGGCTTCGGCCGCCACCCGGGCAAAATTCAAAATTTCCTACCAAATGAAAATATTAGGTGTGTCCCGCGCGCTCATATGACCTTATGCAGTTGCGAGCGCCGTAAAACACTTTACAAAAACAAACAAAATAATATAATGTCGATGGCCCCGGCAATCTAGCAGTTACATTGCTAGACTCGTAATCGTGGCGTCTGTGATTTTGGGATTGGAGGCACAGACCCGACATTGTGTCCTTGGGAAAGGCACTTTATACGAATTTCCTTAACTGCACCCAGGTGGGAATGGACACTCGGCCGTAGACAGCGAAATAAATTTCTTGTCAGTACGTTAGTATTCTAGCGCCTGTTAATGAGTTGCTTACAGTGTGTGCTTCCCAGGAATTTAATATTGTTTTAGAATGATGTCAAGTTTGCTAGACTAATGTATAATATTGTAAAAATCATACAGTTTATTTTTATTATTAAATCGTTGGTGGCCTTGTGGTTAGGCTCTGGGACTCGCAACCGTAAGGTCGTGGGTTCGAATCCCGTCAGGGACCCCCGACGTTGTGTCCTTGGGAAAGGCACTTTACACGAATTTTCCTCACGTCACCCAGGTGGGAATGGGTACCCGGCTATAGACAGCGAAAGATCTTGTCAGTTTGTTAGTGTTTGAGCGCTTAATCAGCTGCTTGCACTGTATGCTTCCCGGAAAGCTGAGAATGTTTTGGGGTGTTCTATGGTCTGCTGGGGTAATAATATAGTGTAAAGCGCATAGAGTCTGCTGTTGAGCGGGGATATGCGCTATACAAATGCTATTTATTTATTATTATTCAAAACATATTTTTAAAACTCAAAACAGTCTAACAAAGCCAGACAAATCCCCAAAGATTTAACCCGTATGAGAGTGTTCACACGAGTGGAAAATTTTAAGCAAATAATTATGATGACGACGTGAGGACAAATCGATGATCAAACATGCGCTGTGTTACTCATTGCCACTGTGACAATTTATTGAAAAATACTTGGCGTACCTGTCTGCACTTTCCGAAAGGTCGACCTATGATAGCATTTAGCTGCATAAGAAAAAAAAAATCAGTTGTGGAAATGAGCACACGGGGAAGAAACCAGACGAAACAAAGCGTTGTATTTTGATTCTGATAAACGCAGACATTTACTCAAGAGGTGAAAGAACAAGAAACTGCATTTTTATACCACACTCAGGGAGTTGTTTTAAATATTGAACGTCCGGTAAAATAAATCCTTAGAATAATATTACAAATAATAATAATAATAATAATAATAGATAGCATTTGTATAGCGCATATCCCCGCTCAGCAGCAGGCTCTATGCGCTTTACACTATATTATTACCCCAGCAGACCATAGAACACTCCGAAACATTCTCAGCTTCCCGGGAAGCATACAGTGCAAGCAGCCGATTAAGCGCTCAAACACTAACAAACTGACAAGATCTTTCGCTGTCTATAGCTGGGTACCCATTCCCACCTGGGTGAAGTGAGGAAAATTCGTGTAAAGTGCCTTTCCCAAGGACACAACGTCGGGCCCTTGACGAGATTCGAACCCACGACCTTACGGTTGCGAGTCCGAGAGCCTAACCACTAGGCCACCGACGCCACATATGACATGGTATCTAACATGCTATCAAGAAGATATCTACAGCGTGAAATATATATATATATATATATATTAGTTGTAATCAAAATTTGCAGAAACTACTCCACAGACTACATTCACCTTCTAGTCTTCTCTTGGAACTCTCGTGGCCTAAAGGTTAAGGTGTTCTCCTCTCATTCAAAGACCCCGGGTTCGAATCTGGGTAATGACGGAAATGTTTTCACCTCTAAAATTGTCTCCTTTCACCTCCTTTCCTGTTCTCTAGCAATGTTTTGCCCTCTTCTTTCGTCTCCACTTTATACCAACACCCCCTCACCTCCTTTGCCAGCTCCTCTGGGCTCCTGCCTCTTTCTGCAGCCTTTCTGCTGCTACTCCTTGGTACCTCCTTACTGTTGTCTTTCAGCCTAATATTCTGGTAGGAAAGATCTACACCTAGCCTTCTCAGACAAGGACGAAAAATCTCAGAGGCCCGTATGCAAGTTGTACAAGTAAAAGATCTCTTGATGGTCTAAAATCGATTAGTGTAGGCTTCGGCGGCAACCAGGACAAAATTGTAAATTTCCTACGATCCGATAATTTTTAATGTGTCCTGCGCGCTCGTATGACCGTATCCAGTTGTGAGCGCCGTAAAACACTTACCAAAAAATAAAACAACCAAAAAACCTTCGTGGCGCAACTTATTGTCAAATATTTCCTAAACCATTGAACATCTCCACCTTTTGTACTTGGACTTGTATCATTTTGTCTTAACAGATCAATATTTTTGTAAACACCAGTTAGCTGTATTCTAGAAAATCCCTTGATGTGTACTTAGATAGATTTATCAACTACTGCTGCAAGTGGAAAATAAAAGCAGATTGTAATAATAATAATACATACTAATAAATAGCATTTCTATAGCGCATGTCCCCACTCTAAAGCAAGCTCTATGCGCTTTACACTATATTATTACCCCAGCAGACCATAGAACACTCCGAAACATTCTCAGCTTCCCGGGAAGCATACAGTGCAAGCAGCCGATTAAGCGCTCAAACACTAACAAACTGACAAGATCTTTCGCTGTCTATAGCCGGGTACCCATTCC